AAAAAAACAAGAGAAAGAATTAAATTACAACAGATGGGGTAGAGAGAGAAGATGGGAGGGGAGGGGAGGGGGGATAGTAGAGGATAGGAAAGGTAGCAGAATACAACAGTTACTAATATGGCATTATGTAAAAATGTGGATGTGTAGTTGTTGTGATTCTGCAATCTGTATTTGGGGTAAAAATAGGAGTTTATAACCCACTTGAATCGAATGTATGAAATATGATATGTCAAGAGTTTTGTAATGTTTTGAATAAGCAATAAAAAAAAGAAAAACTAACAATGCAAATAAGTTAGTGGGAAGTGGGTGAAAGAAGGGACCCAAATATGCCTCCTCCTTGTGCTCCTATTTCTTTTTTTTTCTTTATTAAATGATTTATTTATTCTAATTTGTTATACATGTGGCAGAATGCAAATTATTTCATATTACACATATAGAGCATGTTTTTTTCAAGTCACTAGTTATAAACAAAGTATTTACATACCATTCATATCTTCCAACATGTACTTAGGGTAATGATGTAGAACTCATTCCACCATCATTCCTACCCCCTTGACCCTTCCCTATCTCTTCCTTCCCTTTTCCTATCTAAAGTTAATCTATTCCTCCCATGCTCCCCCATCTGCATTATGAATCAACATCCTTATATCAGAGAAGACATTTAGCACTTAGGTTTTTGGGGATTGGCTTACTTCACTTAGTATTATATTATCCAACTCCATCCATTTACCTGAAAATGCCATAATTTTATTCTCTTTTATTGCTGAGTAATGTTCCATTGTGTATATATACCAAAGTTTCCCTATCCATTCATCTACTGCAGGGCATCTGGGTGGGTTCCACAGTTTAGCTACTGTGAACTGTGCTGCTATAAACATTAATGTGGCTGTGTCCCTGTTGTACAGTGTTTTTAAGTCCTTTGGGTATACACTGAGGAGTGGGATAGCTGGATAAAATGGTGGTTCCATTCCAAGTTTTCTAAGGAATTGCCATATAGCTTTCCATATTGGCTGCACCAATTTGCAGTCCCAACAGCAATGTATGAGTGTGCCTTTTACCCCACATCCTTATCAACATTTATTGTTGTTTGTATTTTTGATAGCTGCTATTCTGACTGGAGTGAGGTGAAATTTTAGAGTAGTTTTGATTTGCATTTCTCTAATTGCTAGAGATGTCGAACATTTTTTCATATGTTTGTTGACTGATTGTATATCCTCTACTGAGAGGTATCTATTCAGTTTCTTGGCCCATTTATTGATTGGGTTATTTGTTTTTTTGTATAAAGGTTTTTGAATGCTTTATATATCCTAGAGATTAGTGCTCTGATGTGCATGTGTTAAAGATTTGCTCCCATTCTGTAGGCTCTTTGTTCACCTCACTGATTGTTTCTTTTGCTGAGAAGAGGCTTTTTAGTTTGAATCCATCCCACTTATTGATTCTTGGTTTTAATTCTTGCTCTATAGGAGTCTTATTAAGGAAGTTGTGGCCTAATCCGACATGATGGAGATTGATGTCTGCTTTTTCTTCCATTAGGCACAAGGTCTCTGAATTGCCTAATTCCTAGGTCCTTGATTCACTTTGAGTTGAGTTTTGTGCATGGTGAGAGAGACAGGTTTAATTTCATTCATTCAGTTGTAATGATGTGCTTTATCTCACTAAAGGCTCACGGTTGCCAACAGCATTAATTCTCTAACCTGAAGGAAAGCCTGTATGAATATTAGGTGGGAGATTGCTTTAATATGACCTTCATATTCTAGAATTTAGGGTATGCTTTGTGCTCATTCTCCAGTCTGCTTGTCTCTGTGTGCCTTTCCTTCAAAACATGTATTACTTTCATCTGTCTGGATTCCTGTTTTCCTCAGCAATATACATTCACCTTCAATCTTGCTCACCTCTAACCCTGAAATTCCTGATCTTACAGTTAATTCCATCTCTCAAGATCCACCATCAACTACAATGTCCATCTCCTTCCAATCCTCTATGGAGGCAAAAAAATGGAGGAAGATGATACATTTGCTGCTTCTGCACCAAATTTGTGGTATCACAGATTGTGGAATTCCCTCCGTAAATTATTTGAGGTTATTTGAACATCTTCACTTGGTCTTGAGCCAGGAAGATTTAGGTTTGGCATTGCAAACTATTTTGTGGCTCCTCCCACTCAATGGATTATGCAGTGCACCTCTGTCTTCACTAGGCTAGGAAGACCACTTTTGTTGAGTGTAACCCATTGGAACCTGGACAGCCCAACTCCTACCTTAATTGGTGAAGAACATTCTACAGAAAACCTTTGATGTTTCCCCTATATAAATAAAGCAAACGCTGGCTCTCACTCTCTTTCCAGTGTGGAAGCTTGACCCCTAAGGTCAAAGAGCTGTCCTGGCCTTGCTTTCTAAAATTACTTCCTGTGTCCTGTGGTTTTTTCACTGTTTTCTCTTTCTTAGCTTTATTTCGCAGCCACCCTACTCCACCAAAGAGGAACCTTCACTTCCACTGCCCACGCAGGATGTGGGTGGGAAGAGACAACTTTAGGCAAGCTTTAATAAATTTCCCAGGAAATTTTCACGTTCATCTGACTTTTTTTTCCCTAAGGAAGAACCATGTATATACACCTATAAAAACTAAACTAAATGAGTCAGACATTATTATTCTATGTACATGTATGATTGTATGAATGGTGTGACTCTGCATCGTGTATAACCAGAGAAATGAAAAGCTGTGCTCCATTTGTGTACAACGAGTCAAAATGCAATCTGTTGTCATGTATGACTAACTGGAACAACAACAAAAACACAACTGAACCCCTTCAAATAAACTTTCAATCCAGGAATAGGTGCCATTTAGAATCTCTTCCACTTATCTCTACTTTCAATTACCAGACTGACCTACTCAAATTAGATCTGGTTTTCCTATGCTGCTCCTTAATGAAAGTACTGAAGCTACTCAAGATTCCTTAGGTGAGTTTTATGATGGAGAAAGAAATTTTGCATTCCTTTTAAATAAACAACTTCATCAATGACAGATATTTCTTTTTTTTTTTTTTTTTCAGATGCTGAGGATGGAACCCAGGGCATTGTGCATGCTAGAGAATTGCTCCACTACTGAGCTACATCTCCAGCCTTTTTATTTTATTATGAGGCAGGGTCTCAGCTGCCCAGGATGGCCTTAAACTTGTGATGTTTCTGCCTCATCCTCCCTAGTAGCTATGATTACAAGCATGTGCCACCACGCCTGCCTTATCACTGGCAGATTTTTAATGACACAAACTGTTTTCCAGCCATCTTTACCTATCTGTGACCTCAACTACATGAATTGTTTCCTGTATTGCTTATTCAAACCATTTTTCAAATTTTGCTGCTTTGAGAATATGAAAATCTAATATTTATTATAGTTTTTACTTAAATTACATTTTTAAAGTGATATTAAATTCATCAAATACTATATATTTAGGGGTTGTTTTTAAATTGGCTCTTGCCAAAATTGTAAAACAGTGGCTGCTTGCAAAATAATCATTTTCCTTTGTACATTTGCTATTGGGTATGATTATTCAGTTATTTCAGGTGTTATGTGTCACAAATGCAAGATTTTTGAAAAAAATATGCTTAGTGCCATCTGTCATATCAGTAATTATTTCAAAGACAAAATTTTTAAAAAGAGAAAAATATATGAAGAATCGTTAACAACTGTAAGCCCTAATTAAACCTTTAAAAAGTTAACATTTCAGAACACTGTCTTCTTAAATTATCTATCCCTGTAAGGGTTTTTTTTTGTTTTGTTTTGTTTTGTTTTACATATTTAAGGTTAAATTATTCTAATATATCTTTTTGCCCATTGTTTCTTCTTTTGTATTATTTTTCATTCCGGAATCTTTATTACCTTCACAGAGTCTACCAATAAATCATGGTCCTCTGAAAAGAAATGAAAATACCCCTTAACAACTTCACTGAGAATGTCTTCTACATAAATGTATTCTTTCCAAGGATCTGTCTAGTCAATTGCAGTTTCAAACTATAACAACTGAAGGAAGGTAATCTATCATTTAGTATTTGAAGTTCTAAAATAATATGTATGTAGCACAAAACAAAACTTTCACTTGGTAGGGAATTTAGACTTAACACACATGTCCATTCTTTAGTCATACAGATTGATTATACTTTTCTCCTCTTCTCATTTTTTTATAAGAACATTAAAATTCCACAGCAAAACCAATGAAGCACTTAAAAATTTAAAATACGTAAAATTCCCTATGATATCAATCAGAGAGGTTGACATAATCTTATGACAACAATATGCATATTTTAGAAGGTGGTGGGGATCCTAAATTAAAAGAAACTACATAATAATTTGAATTTCTGATTCTTTTTGGGCATCACAAAAGAAAGATTCAGGATCTTCCCCAGAGACCTAGTCTGTGGCAAGCATCTTACTCATGCTACTCTTGACTTCTTCTACCACAGTTGACACTCATATTTATTTTTTTAAAAAGTCAGGAATATTTATTTCTTGATAAAAGAAGTGACATAATGACTTTCAAAAAAGTATCAATTAAATTACCCAAAGATGAGAAAAACATTTAGCATACGTGTGCCTTACACATACATAAATCAAAGATTGGAGATTAAAATATGTATATAAAAATAATCTGCATGCACTATATTTTCAAACATCTTCTCTCATAATATATTCTAAACATACAATTTTAATGACTTTACCATAGTTCCACTTATCTAAGCAAGTTTATTTAACCTTATTAGATTTACCATTATTTGTTTGAACAACTTGTCTTATTTCTCCCTTGTAAGTAATGCTATAATCCTATTTGATAAATATTTAAATCACAGATGATTCCTTCCCACAGTAAGTATTCCCTGAAGCAAATATATTACCTAAATGTTATAAGAATTTTCAAATTAATGGAAAAAATCTTGATTGTTAAAATTAATTTTAAAAATTGATAAACAGCAAATAATTTAGTCTGTGAAGCATACAAAGGAAAAGTTTACCTTGTGCAAAAAGAACAGGATGAATTTTAAACCCTCCTCCATTTTTCAACCTTTGGGGCAGTTGTTCAAAATGGTAACTATCAATGTAGAAATAAACCTTCAGAGCTTGCCGGCTTCCTTCCACTTGATATGTAAGAGGAACATCTAAAAGGACAATGAATGTTATATTACTTTCTAAGCTCAGAATATGCTATATAGGATATTTGGATTATTTAAGGCAGGTATTTTTAACCTTTACAAACAATCCTGATAATTACTAGTAAGTAATACATTAAAAGTGTTCACGCGTATCAAGTTCAGGTTAGACATAAAATATTGTTCAGTAAAAGTGTACTGAACCAGATTCTCATTAGCTAAAACAACCGATTTATGACTGTACCACATATAAAAATTTGTAATAGGAAACTTCGTTATACTTTGACATACCAGATGTCTCACTTAACTAGATGAGGAGTTTAGCTACACATGGCTTGGATTCAAAATCTCCCAGGGCAGCTGCCTCATTCATATTTGAGGCAAAATGAGACCTTGGGGTATATTTTTGAAGTAGTATGCAAGGAATTGAGTACATACCAACCATTAACAAAATTAGCATGGGTTTTGTCAGCTCCATTCCCTGAGCACCAGATCAAAAATAAATCATCTTCTACTGATACTCTACAGTCATTTGAAATTATCTGTCCAAATTGTAGCTACTTCCAAAGATCCCAAATTTAAGTACTTAAAAAAATCAACTATTTGAAAAGCTGAAATGCTATAAGTTTTAACAATGCGATCATAATTCCTCTTCATTTTATGATTTAATCCATGACAAACATTTACACCTCGTTAAAAAAGAATGTGAAAATCTTCCTAAAAAGCTAAAATGGTCAAACTATCTTGTTAGAAATCAAGGGCTAAATGTAGTAGGCATTTAATACATGTTGTTAATTCAATATTTGTTACTTCTAACCTGCTTCTTGAAATATGAATAAAATAAAACTAGAGTTCAAGGTCAAATGGCATCTATGATCACAGATTCCAAAATCCTTACTAAATTTATCTATTTGCTTCTTCTTATCAATAAAGGAGATATTACATGAACCTTTACAAATCTCTTTTATGCCACCTAATAATGAATATTGTATTTTTGTTACTTTTTTTTTTAAAAAAAAAGAAAGATAGAAAGGCATAAGTTTAGGAAAGAGAGAAAGTTTCTTGGTGAAGGGGTTGCAAATGAACAGCATTTTAATGATTGGGAAAATCTTTTCTTTTTTTCCTGGTTTCTAAAATAAAGAATAAATGATGTATGGACAATGAAGAAAACATAGATTTATATACATACTAAATATTTGTATCTTCCAGCTCTCCTTTCATATATTGTCATATATAGTTTAAGTTATGTTAAATTTCATTCATTGAATACTCACTGGTATCAACATTAACACTGACTAATAATGGTGATGGGGTGTGGGGGGAGCATGGGAGGAATGAAGGAACTTTAGATAGGGCAAAACGGAAGGAGGAGAAGGGAGGGGGCAAAGGGGTAGGAATGATGGTGGAATGAGTTAGACATTAGTACTCTAAGTACATGTATAAGACACGAATGGTGTGAAAATACTTTGTGCACAACCAGTGTCTTGAAAACATGTGCTCTATATTTGTAATATGAAATGAATTGCATTCTGCCATCATGTATAACAAATCAGAATAAATATAATAAAAAAATTTTTAAAAAGAACTACCCCATGTCCATGGTTAGAAGACTTAATAATGTCAAGATATCATTTCTTTCCAACTTGATCTATTGCTTTAATGCAATACATGATCAAACTTCCAAATTATTTCATGGAAATTGACAAAATGATTTTAAAGGTTAAAAGGAGTAGCCAACACATTATTTAAGAATAGAATTGGAGGACAGACAGTACCGGGAATCAGGATTTCTATAAAGCTACAGAAATCAAGATAGTGTGATATTGACAAAGAATAGAAAAACAGATCAATGAAACCCAGAAACAGAAAGCCCTAAAACATAGTCATGTAAACACAGACAATTTATCTTTGAAGAAAAGACTAAAAGTAAAATGATGGAATGAACATAGTCTTTTTAAAAAAATGGTTCTGGAACAACTAAACATCTACTTGCAGAATCTAGTCACTGAGCTTACTGCCTTTACAAAATTAACTCAAAATGGATCAGAGATCTAAAAGTGAAATGCAGAACTACATAAATCCTAGAAGATGGTATAGAAGAACATCTGCATGATCCTGTATATGGTGATTCCATTTTAAACAAAAACAACAGAATAATCAATAAAAGAACTGAAAAGAGGCCTTCATTAAAATTTAAAACTTCTGTTTTGTAAAAATAATGTCTAAAAATAATGTCAACAGAATGAGAAGCAACAGACTAGGAGAATATATTTCAAAAGACACATTTGATAAAGGACTGTCATCCAAAATATACAAAGAATATATAAAACTCAACAATAAAAAAAAAAACTTTTCAAAAACACTTTTGAAAATTATTGGCTTTTACTTGTGGCAATTTATCTATGGTGAAAAACAAACCCTGTCATTAGGATTAATGATTAAAAGTTCAAAACCATTTTTTTTTAATATGGAAAAGTTGTGTGGTCAGATCAATGGAAGGAATGACCCTTAGATGAATTTCAACAAACAGTGCCATCCCATCTCCGCAAACGTGGCACCCAACCACTGAGTGGGCCAGTCAGTTTGATAAGTCTTTTGACTTTGAAAACTCTCAAAAAGGGTTGGATCTTTTTCATCCTACAGTTCTCAGTTTAAAAACTCGTTGTATAGAAAGCCTTCTCTGGTTACCATTTAAAGGACCACCTCACCCTATCTTATTCTTTTTCTTTATATATATATATATATATATATATATATATATATATATATGCTATTTCCTTCATAGGATTTATCAGAGTCCTATCTTTGTAGTTGATATCTTATTCATGTCTCCCAACTAGGCTGTCACCTAACGGATAATATATAAAGTAGTCATATTATGAAGAAGGAGAACATCTGGATGATCCTCCAGGACAATAATAAAATGAATTAAAAAAAGTCTAATTCATCATATCTACATCTCTAGGCATGGTGCTTGGCCCATACAGGCATAGCAGGGGCTCAAAAATATTCTTTCTCCTAGTGTTATGGTTTGGATAGGAGATGAGCTCTGAAAGCTCATGGTGAGACAATGTAAGAATGTTCAGAGGTTAAATTATTAGATAATTAGAGCTATAACCTTATCAGTGGATTAATCCACTTATATGGATAAGTCTGAAGAGGTAGGTAGGTAGGGTATGGCTGGAAGAAATAGGTCACTAGAGATGTGGCTTTAGGGTTTACACTATGTCCCTGGTGAGCAGAGGTCTCTTCCTCGCTGCTTTCTGGCTGTCATGCCCTGAGCTTCCTTCCTCCACCCACACCCTTCCACTACGATGTTCTGACTCATCTTGAGCCCAGAACTATGGAGTTGATAGACCATGGATTGAGACCTCTGAAACTGTGAGCCAAAGTAAACTTCCTCCTCAAAGTTTTTCTTCTAGGGTATATCCGTCACAGAGATGGAAAGTTGACCAAAACACCTAGAAATTAATTATTATAAAATTATCTGTTTCACCATTGAAAAGGAGAAGAACTGCTATCAGTATTTCTTTTAAAAAATGCAGACTTTCCACAAAATAAATTTAATTCTATACAATCTAATCATTTGGCTAGTATATTCCCCCTTCACTATATTTCAGTGATACTTTCCTTATCACTGAAGTGGCAAAGTGCCCATTTATTTCTTTGTGTCTTTCACTAGTCTCTAAGCTCCAGGCCAATAAGGACTTGTTTTATTATCATTATATTCCTAGAACTTAGTGCAGCACTTGGTGGTAGTGGTGGTGATGGTGGTGGTGGTGATGGTGGTGGTGGTGGTGGTGGTTGAGTGTGTGTGTGTTTAAAAACTATTTCCTCGATAAAAATAAGATGTCTTCAATCTAGACTTCTTGGCATGCCATAATTCTTTTCATAATGCTTGGCATGCCATAATTCTTCTAAATTTTATAATTCTCTAATACAAAAATAAAACTATTGGTGAAGCTATAAATATGCTTTTGGGGGAAAAAAGTCAGGGAAATAAAGTGAGGAGAGACTTAAACACTTAACTGAGTACTACAGTGAGCCACATATGATGCTAGAGGATTACTTATTTCAGCCTCTCAACACTGTGAGTTAGGGGAAGTTAATGTTCTCATGTTTGCAGATGAAAATGGAGCCAGGATTTCAACTCAGGTTTCTCAAGGTCAAAGTCAATTGTTTCTTTATACCTTTATGCTTCCTCTTTTCTGTACCCACTACTCCCTTCACAGACAAGCAGTCCATTACTATCCATTTGCATGATGCAGAATTTATTAGTCCATCTAACTCCTCTGTTTCTACATGTATAGAAACGTGAAACTGTGCAATGAATGATAAAACTCTAGTTTCCTTATACTACTTACATAAGACTTGACGACCCCTGGGTTTTGAATAATTCTCTACTCTCTTGAGCCAACATAAAATGAGAACTACGTTCTTATCATCACTTTTTGATATTTGCTTGGAATATTTACTCATGTAGCATTGAAACTAGCTCTACCTTAGAGAACTATTTTCACAAGTCAAGATAGTGCTTTGAGGAAATACACACAAACATATATTGCTGAATATGTATTACAAAGCTTGTTACAGGTACAGCTACATTCATATACAACCATTACTTCCACCTTCTCGGTTACCTTTAATATTTAGCACATGTTCCAACGTGCCAGTGTTAAAGCTCTTACAGTGGGTTTATAACAAGTAAGTGTTTTATCAAGCATATGATATTCTTTCTTCCACGGCTCCACAGACCCCTTGCCAATAAAGTCACATTAGAAACACAGAAAACAGTACTTCTGTGAGCTTATAGTTCATCAGGCAAAACTTTAAAAACATATTAGATCAAAAAATCATAGTCATCTCTGCCTTCAACAAAAGTGTGCCTATGCTACTGAAGTAAACAAAAATACATCCTATTCCATATATATTCACAGATGATCACACAATTGGTTCAAATAATGCCCCTTGTCATATTCTCTCTTGAATATAACCTGCATTTCCAGCTTTGTACATCATGTTCTGATTCTCTTGTCCACTGTTAGAAACACAACTTTAGTTTTGTTTTCTCTCTACTTTCTTAAAATAATATAAACAGCACTGACATTTCTTTTTCTTTTTCTTTTTTTTTTTTGCCATCTGTACAGTTATCTTTGAGGCCAAGTCACCATGATCTCTCACCCTAGTCATTCAGTGGGTAGCTAACTCTTCCCTGGGCTTCTGTCCTAGTCCAGGGAATGATCTATTCAACACAGCAGCCAGAGGCAGACTTTTACTATGTAAAGCCAAATCCTGTTGTTCTCAATGGCTTGGTTGGAAAGGCAAACCTCTTCCCAGGGAGTGATGAGTACTGCATGGTCTGCTCTCTCCCTCTCTGATCCTCTCATTTGCTCTCCTATACCCACGCAGGCCTGCTTGCTCATCTGACAGCACGCCACATACATTCCCACCTCGGAGTCCACTGTGTGTGGGACACCCCGCTCCCAATATCTGCATGACTTGTACCCTCCACCCTGTCAGGGCTCTGTTCTCCTTAATAAGGCTTCACTCACTGCCCTATTCTTTGTGACTTCTCATCTACCCATTCATCTTTTTCCTTTATTCCCTTTTATTATTACCTTCTAATTCATTATAAAATCAACTTGTTCATTTGGCTTATTATTGTCTTTCTCCACTTGAACATAAATCCAATGAGCTACAATGACTTAGTTCTCTTGAGTCTAACACCTGGAAAATTCTTGGCCAGAAGTAGGCATTCAAGAAACTTGTGTTAAACAAATGAAAGAATAATTATCATTCCTAAATAAGATCATGGATTCAGTGAGCCTCTACTGAGTCCCTATTTATTGTACTAGACCTTAAAAAAAGGTGAAAAATAATCTCTTCCAGCCTGAAGGAGCTTACATCTTTATCATATCGTGGGGAGGGGGGGTCCTCACACTTATGAAAAAATAAGGAGGCACACACAAAAAAACAGCAAACTATGGAAGATTCCTTGAACTGATAAATTCGTTTTAAACCAATGCATGACAATGTTGAAACAGTATATGAATGATCATGACTTGCAAAAACTAGAAAATGTGAACATTAAACTGTAGGTATTGCTACTTTTCTGAATGTATACCTTCTAAATTACTGGCTTTTGTCAGGTTTAGTGATAGAAAATTGCTAAACCAAAAGGGGGCTTTTCAATCCTTCAATTCATAAAGTAACTATACAAGATATTAATATCAAAGATGTAGCATATGCTATTGTCTGGTGCTGAAGAAATTCTACAAACACATAATTACTTACTTGCAACCAGTGGTTCCTCTTCTGATGGTTTAAAGTAAAATGAAACCTTTTCCAAATCAAATAGTGCAACCAGTGTATCTTCTAGCATGGCTTGTTCATCGGTCTACAAAGAAAGAAAAACAATATGACAAAATAGAATGCAATGACATAATGTAAATCTGGATGAAACATAGCTTCATTTGTGCTTCATTTACATGCAAAATATTATCAATTCGTCCTTAAGACCTTCCTGACCAAAATGAAATTAACAAGTTCCAGAAAGTTATACATCCCTTTTATGATTTTATATTTTTTCATTTTCTCTGTTGTTTAAATGGTTATACACACATTTTTTTCAGCCTATTTTGTAGCTAGACTGTAATCATGTTGATTTCATTTACAAATAAATTCATAGAGCATGACATTTGACTCTTAGTTTCTAAAGTTTCATAAAAATAACAGCTGACAAGCAAAAGTATAATTTTATTTTAAAATCACATTATATAACAGCTACCCTATTTTATAATGGGATAATTTATTCACTGTTCAATTTTCTGTTTATTAGAACTGTGATAAAAGCAATTTCCACATATGTATATATATTTGTCTCGCAAAGAGCTTGGGGGCAAGAATTATTTTCGCTTAACTGTCTTTAAGGAGATTTAGTCTAGAATCTTGTGAATATCTGATCCAATTTCTTTTAACCATTTGTCTCATTCTTACAACTTATAATTTTCAAGCTTTGGCATCTAAGGCCAGAAATACTTATCATATCAGTGTGACTCTTAGCAATATCACCATGCTATCAGATTTTGGTCTTCTTATTAGCAGTTTAATGCATTCTCTATAGGGTCTTTTAATAGTCTCATAATGAAAATATAATTAACCTTACCACAAACAACTTTTTAAAATTCCCTTAATGATGTACATGAATCTTTTAAACAACTATCACTACATGTTTTAAACAACAGTTTAATATGTTAGTATAAGCTCTTACCATATATTTTTTTAATTTTTTATTGTGGGTTGTTCAAAACATTACAAATTTCTTGACATATCATATTCCACACTTTGATTCAAGTGGGTTATGAACTCCCACCTTCACCCCATACACAGATTGCAGATTCACATCAGTTACACATCCATTGATTTACAAATTGCCATACTAGTGTCTGTTGTGCTCCGCTGCCTTTCCCATCATCCACCATCCCCCCTCCCCACCTCTCCCATCCCCTCCCTTCCTCTCTTTCTACCTCCTCCACTGTATAACCCTGAGGGTCTCCTTCCATTACCGTGCAATTTCCCTTCTCTCTCCCTTTCCCTCCCACCTCTCATCCCTGTTTAATGTTAATCTTCTTCTCCTGTTCTTCGTCCCTACTCTGTTCTTAGTTACTTTCCTTATATCAAAGAAGACATTTGGCATTTGTTTTTTAGGGATTGGCTAGCTTCACTTAGCATAATCTGCTCTAATGCCATCCATTTCCCTGTAAATTCTATGATTTTGTCATTTTTTAATGCAGAGTAATACTCCATTGTGTATAAATGCCACATTTTTTTTATCCATTCGTCTATTGAAGGGCATCGAGGTTGGTTCCACAGTCTTGCTATTGTGAACTGTGCTGCTATGAACATCGATGTAGCAGTGTCCCTGTAGCATGCTCCTTTTAGGTCTTTAGGGAATAGACCAAGAAGGGGAATAGCTGGGTCAAATGGTGGCTCCATTCCCAGCTTTCCAAGAAATCTCCATACTGCTTTCCAAATTGGCTGCACCAATCTGCAGTCCCACCAGCAATGTACAAGTGTACCCTTTTACCCACATCCTCGCCAGCACTTGTTGTTGTTTGACTTCCTAATGGCTGCCAATCTTACTGGAGTGAGATGGTATCTTAGGGTGGTTTTGATTTGCATTTCTCTGACTGCTAGAGATGGTGAGCATTTTTTCATGTACTTGTTGATTGACTGTATGTCCTCCTCTGAGAAGTGTCTGTTCAGGTCCTTGGCCCATTTGTTGATTGGGTTGTTTGTTCTCTTATTGTCTAATTTTTTGAGTTCTTTGTATACTCTGGATATTAGGGCTCTATCTGAAGTGTGAGGAGTAAAGATTTGTTCCCAGGATGTAGGCTCCCTATTTACCTCTCTTATTGTTTCTTTTGCTGAGAAAAAACTTTTTAGTTTGAGTAAGTCCCATTTGTTGATTCTAGTTATTAACTTTTGTGCTATGGGTGTCCTATTGAGGAATTTGGAGCCCGACCCCACCGAATGTAGATCGTAGCCAACTTTTTCTTCTATCAGACAGCGCGTCTCTGATTTGATATCAAGCTCCTTGATCCATTTTGAATTCACTTTTGTGCATGGCGAGAGAAAGGGATTCAGTTTCATTTTGTTGCATATGGATTTCCAGTTTTCCCAGCACCATTTGTTGAAGATGCTATCCTTCCTCCATTGCATGCTTTTAGCTCCTTTATCAAATATAAGATAGTTGTAGTTTTGTGGATTGGTTTCTGTGTCCTCTATTCTGTACCATTGGTCCACACGCCTGTTTTGGTACCAGTACCATGCTGTTTTTGTTACTTTGCTCTGTAGTATAGTTTGAAGTCTGGTATCGCTATACCGCCTGATTCACACTTCTTGCTTAGCATTGTTTTTGCTATTCTGGGTCTTTTGTTTTTCCATATGAATTTCATGATTGCTTTCTCTATTTCTACAAGAAATGCCGTTGGGATTTTGATTGGCATTGCATTAAACCTATAGAGAACTTTTGGTAATATCGCCATTTTGATGATGTTAGTTCTGCCTATCCATGAACAGGGTATATTTTTCCATCTTCTAAGATCTTCTTCTATTTCTCTCTTTAGGGTTCTGTAGTTTTCATTGTATAAGTCTTTCACCTCTTTTGTTAGGTTGATTCCCAAGTATTTTATTTTTTTTGAAGATATTGTGAATGGAGTGGTTGTCCTCATTTCCATTTCAGAGGATTTGTCGCTGATATACAGGAATGCCTTTGATTTATGCGTGTTGATTTTAAATCTTGCCACTTTGCTGAATTCATTTATTAGCTCCAATAGTTTCTTTGTAGAGCCTTTTGGGTCTGCTAGATATAGAATCATATCATCTGCAAATAGTGATAATTTAATTTCTTCTTTTCCTATTTTGATGCCTTTAATTTCTTTCGTCTGTCTAATTGCTCTGGCCAGTGTTTCGAGGACTATGTTAAACAGAAGTGGAGAGAGAGGGCATCCCTGTCTTGTTCCAGATTTTAGAGGGAATGCCTTCAGTTTTTCTCCATTCAGAATGATGCTAGCCTGAGGCTTAGCATAGATTGCTTTTACAATATTGAGGTATGTTCCTGTTATCCCTAGTTTTTCTAGAGTTTTGAACATAAAGGGATGCTGGACTTTGTCGAATGCTTTTTCCGCATCTATCGAGATGATCATATGGTTCTTATTTTTAAGTCTATTGATGTGGTGAATAACATTTATTGATTTCCGTATATTGAACCAGCCTTGCATCCCAGGGATGAATCGTACTTGATCATGGTGTACAATTTTTTTGATATGTTTTTGTATCCGATTCGCCAGAATTTTATTGAGGATTTTTGCATCTAGGTTCATTAGAGATATTGGTCTGTAGTTTTCTTTCTTTGAAGTGTCTTTGTCTGGTTTAGGTATCAGGGTGATGTTGGCCTCATAGAATGAATTTGGAAGTTCTCCCTCCTTTTCTATTTCCTGAAGTAGCTTGAAAAGTATTGGTATTAGTTCTTCTTTAAAGGTTTTGTAAAATTCTGCTGTATACCCATCCGGACCTGGGCTTTTCTTAGTTGGTAGTCTTTTTATGGTTTCTTCTATTTCCTCAATTGATATTGGTCTGTTTAGGTTGTCTATATCCTCCTGACTCAATCTGGGCAGATCATATGACTTAAGAAATTTATCGATGCCTTCACTATCTTCTAATTTATTGGAGTATAAGGATTCAAAATAGTTTTTGATTATCTTCTGTATTTCTGAAGTGTCTGTTGTGATATTGCCTTTTTCATCCCGTATGCTAGTAATTTGAGTTCTCTCTCTTCTTCTCTTCGCTAGCATCTCTTACCATATTTTGGTACAACATTTGTAGAGGGTAAAGGAGGTGATAAGAAATTTTCATTGTATGAAAAACAATCAGTAAGGCAACCCCAGATTTCAAAGAAGTACAATACAGACGCAAATAGGTTGAGAAAATTGTCACCTTTGCACTCTTGGGTATTACCTAGGGGTAGAATTTCTGGATAATACAGAAACTCTATGTTTACCATTTTGAGGAACTAGCAAACTGTGTTCCCAATAGTTGTGCTATTTCATATTCTCATGACCAATTTATGAGGATCACAGTCTGTCCATATCCTCACCATCACTTGTTATTATCTGTCTTATGGATTACAACCATATCCATAGCACAGGTGATGTAATCTTTCTTCATAATTTGAGTTGCATTTCCCCAATGGCTAATGATGGTGATCATGTTTTCATGTTTTTATTGCCATTTCAAATCCTTTGCCCAATTTTAAACTGGGTCATTTGTCTTTTTACTGTTGAGTTATAAGGGTCCTTCGTGTATTGTAGACTAGGTCATTGCTTAGTTATATGATTGTAAAATTTTCTCCTAATCCTCGAGAATGCAAATAAAATTAAGTTTTGCTTTAAAAGAAGCAACATCTGATTAGATGATGAGAGTTTTAAAGTAAAGAGAATAATAAATCTCATTCATTTACTCATTCATTTAACAAATATTTAATGTGACAGGAAGTGAGCTTCCTATCAGAAATTAATTTACATTTGACAAACAATGACTAATTTTTATTTTGTTTTAAAACACTTTTCCAAAAATGCTTTATTTCAAATTAACCAAATAAAAAAATCAATCACCTGTAATCTACCTACTTGGGAGGCTTAGACATAAAAGGATTGCATGTTTGAGGCCAGCCTGAGCAACCTAGTGAAATTATCTTAAAAGAAAATAAAAAGGGCTGGGAATGTAGCTCAGTGAAGAATAGATACCTAGCAAGCACAAGGTCCTTGGTTCAGTCCTCCAGTACCACAAATAAATAAAAATAAATCACCCACATGGAGTGCACAGATTCTTTCCAAAGAATCTACTTAGTTACTTTGAAGTACACTGAGATGGACTTCTTTCCCCATTATTCCAGAATCTCCTACAGCTGTGCAGTTCAGCAATCACCTTGTTACCCTCAACATCACCCAAAGCATTATTTTTATGTATAACTTCATACATATTTAACTCATACATAACTCAACCTTGTTACTTAGTAGCTACATTTTCTATGTATGCTTTAATGAATGAAATAGGATTTCCTACTGAAAATCATAATCCCTTTTAACACGCACCTGAGATTCATATGTAAAAGTGAACATCTATGCCTTTAAACATCATGACCACTATCACAATCACAGAAAGTACATGTGAAAAAAAACCCTCCAAATTTAGTACAGTTTTATTTTTCAAATATTTCAAAATACTTTCTTCATATCCAGTGTGGATGCACACACATGGCCAATTCTATTACAGTTAGCACAGGGCTCTTAGATTCAACAGGGCAAATGTGATACAGAAAAACCACAATTTCTTTTAACACATGCAAATTCTAAACAGATCATCAGACAGCACACATGCATGTGACTTGTCTGAGTCTCCTCTATGAAGTACTCTCCTGATTATCAATCTTAATGGGAATTCGGATTTCACAGTGGGCTGTTTCTTCTGGACTAGATAAGGGAATTACAGTAGAAAGAACCTCTTTTTCCTGATGACCATTTTTAGTCAGTGCTTAGGGACAGAAGAAGCTGTAGCACATGGAGGCATTCTCAGCTCTCAGCAGCCACAGAAAAGAGATTTAAAAATCAGGAAAAAAAAAGAATATATTTTACATACTTATTAAAACTTGAATGACCATGGGAAAATGTGACCTTATATAAAGTAGCTAATGGCAGCTGATGTACTAACGAAGAAGAGAATGAGTGGGAAATGACTAACCACTTCATATTTGGGAACATGCAATAATGTAGCTTACAGTTGATATAGACAGAGTCGTGTGATTCCTTACCAAGTTTGGTGACAGAAGTGACTGAAAGTGAAAGAGAACACCTGCATTTGCTATCTGGTCCAGCCACCTTCTGCTGGCTTCCCATGTCTCCATCTCATTTTCCTTGCTGTTGTCAAACATCTGGTTTAAGGCTGCCATGAGCTGCTCAGAGAAGGCACAGACGGTGGCCACTAGACTTTGGCAGAAAACCATGTCTCTCCGGAGCTGTGTCTGACTGACTGTGAGTTAAGAGAACACAATGACAGCTTTGAAAAAAATGTCACAGATGGAGAAAATGAATACATTAAGCATCTACTTTGCAATGACGGGTATTTCATCTTTTTTTCCCTGTACTGGGAATTGAACTCAGAAGCACTCTACCAATGAGCTACATCCCCAGCCTTTTGTATTTTTTTTATTTTGAGACAGGGTCTCATTAAGTTGCTCAGGCTGGCCTTGAACTTGCCAACCTCCTGCCTCAGACTCTTGAATAGCTGGGATTTACAGGCAAGCACAATCATACCTGTCTACCGGTATTACATCTTTCCATCAAACTCATGCCAAGGGAAAACTGAATTTGGACTCTATTAATGAACACACACATTTTACCAAATATGTTTTTTGGCAAATTTTAAACACCAAAAAAACTTAGGAATATTAAAATTCCTTTATAAAATTTATATTGTGACTTTATTCTGCAATCGTTAAATTGTTTTATAAAATGTGAGAAAAAATAGGATTCATTTATCTATATTTTCTTTACCTGTGGGACACAATTTGCCTTTGTTAAAATATGATGTTATTAATATCGTTTAAAAAATAATTATCTACTAAACCTATCCTAATATTAGTGCATAATGCATATGAGCAAAGATTATTTGCTGTTCAATTATTTGTATGAATAAGCAAATCTGTATCTCCTGAATCCAGTTAGTCCATCAGTTACAAATATGGTCAAATATATAGGAGACAAATTCTTACATATGTTTGACAAAAGTATCAGATTTACAGTTTTACCATGAACTGATTTTTACTCCAAGATACACACACATATATACACTTATATCTTAGATATAGAAGCCTTTTCCTGCATTTGACTGGATTTTTGGGTGACCCATTTGATGGCATGTCTGCTCTGTGAATTGCCATTCTTGAGCTAGTTTTCTTTCAAACGAAAAGAAACTTATCCAGACTTTGTGTCTCTGGGTAAACACATATATACGACCTGTATAAACATCAAGCCAAACATTATGCACATTGAAAAATCACACATACTAGAAGAAAAACACAGGGAAAAATAATCTCCCAAAAGTATATTGAATATTTCAAGGGCTTATAGAACCTTCTTGAACAAAGAAGCATTGTCAATATTTGTGTATAACTGAGATAAATACTGCCTTACTCAGTGCCAAGTTCTTGAATTATTGACAAAGAGACATAATTTTAAGATGTTTACCAAGAACCCTGAACATCTGTTTTTAATAACCACGAAAAGCAAGTGTACACATAACGTATCTGAGGTGAATTTTATTCAGTTTCATCATTAGTAATACCTAGAAATTCTAGAGTAACACTCCAGAAATTTTTATTAGAAATGAATTAACCATTAAAAATATTCCTTTAGTAGATTGAACGGCATTTTGAAGTATATAAACGGCAGTTCCATACAATTCACCTTCCTAATGCAACCCACATATGTTAGACATTTCCCTTAAGTGGTTCTAAACCATGTGTTCCTTGCTACCAGATGGGAAAGAGTGTTTTGCAGGTAAAAAATACAAAAATGTCTAAACTAGGAATTAGTATTTTCGAATTCTCAATTATCAAAAAAAAAAAAATGCCTATTTTGTTGGGTACAATTTCTACAAAGAGTAGGTATTCAATAAATGTTTACAAAATGAGTAAATGGAAATAACAAACCAAAGGAGCTAATAAATAAATAAAATGAAAATGTATTAATTAATCCTCTGTGTTCCTAAAAATCTCTGGATTTAGTTGGACTTAGGAAGGAAATTCATATAGCTTGTTAGTTCAAATGTGCAGCTAGAGTACTAAGGTCTAAGAAACCAAAGAAGTAAAAATTTCCCTTGCTCTTCTTTTTACATTCTTACTTTTCAGTTGTCCTATACTAGAGCAGAAATTCTGAGTGAGATTTTAAAACTATTTCAGAAGCTTTGCAGAAATGTTCTCTTATAACTTGAAAATAATTTAATAAAAATATAATTTGAAAGAAATTCCTGATATCAAGAGTGGGAAGCCAGAGTCTAGAGAAGGAGGGCTCTGGTTCCATTGTGAGCTTTAGCGGAGACCCCCAGGTTTAACTTGGACATGAGTAGAAATACTTATCTCTAAATTGTGTTTGAGAAGAAATTCTCAAACTACTTCTTTTTTTAATGTTAAAAAGAATATATAGATGTTATACTACTCCTTACATGTAGTTAAGACAAATTGAAATTTTCACTCAACCTTATTACTGAATTGGAACTGATTTCAATTAATGTTCACTAGCCTTGCCAATAGGCAAAAGTTGATAATTCTGTATTCATTCATTACTTCGAATGCTTAACCCTGAATGCCCCACAGGAATCAAACATTGCACCAATACACTTGAGGTATAGAGAAGTCCAAATTTGGATACTGGTCATGAAATGAAAGAAGAAAAAATTTTATGTAAGTCTCCAGACCTCTCTTCCTCCTGGGAATAAAGTTCAAAGAATTTCCAAAATCTTCCTTCAAAGTAAGAATTCTTAGGCAAGAGCTACCTCTGAACACTGCAATCAATAAAGCTGCTTCCTGAAAATTCCTCAGGTGTCCAACTTCTTCTGTCCTACTTCAACAATGGATCTGAAAGCTGCCAGAACAGGGGGTGCACAGATCTGTCCTCTGAGTCACAAAGTACTGCCCCACATTCTTCAACATCAAATATACTTATTAAATGCACTTTACAGCCCATATTTTCTCTCTAGGTTTCCTCTGGCAACAGGCTGTCCTGTCCTCTCCACCTAGCAAACATTAAGTCTTTCTTCAAAAGTCAACTCCCTGAACTATGGAAACTCATTGAAATACTAGAACATTCTGTCTCCCTATGTGAAACCTCCCTTCTTTCCATGAAGAACCTTGAACTTCTTTTGTCACCACACACCAGGGGCATCCCTGGTAGATGGCTGACCACATAGCATTCAGAAAGCCCATTTACATATATATGTCCTCCAGGGGATCATCACTACACCAAGGCCAGAGGAAGTGGTGTATCCTGTGGGTTACCCTCATGGGTTTTAGATGCACATAATCTCTATATAACTACCCACTTTAAAGCATATGATCTTAGGTCATGGATCCTTATATGTAAAATGGGGTTCATTCTTACTTCTTAGGTCTTCGATAAAGATAAATGAAATTAAAACCATTTAAATCACTTAAAGTGAAATGGGGTAGACTTATCATTGTGATTCCCCTTTCTCCAGAATAGAGCAGTACCTGACACTGAGTAGGTACTCAGTTTTATTCTTGAATGTAGAAAAAACAATATGATAAACAAAGAAAAAGAGAATAAAATCAAGGCATTTGAAGGTAAATGGATGGGGTTGGAGAATATAATCCTAAGTGAAGTTAGCCAATCCCAAAAAAACAAATGCCAAATGTTTTCTCTGATATGAGGAGGCTGATTCATAGTGGGGTTGGGAGGGGGAACATGGGAAGATTAGATAAACTTTAAATAGGGCAAAGGGGAGGGGGCAAAGGGGTAAAAATAAAAGATGGTGGAATGAGATGGACATCACTACTCTAAGTACATGTATGAAGATGACACGAATGGTGTGAATACACTTTGTATACAAGTAGATATATGAAAAATTGTGCTCTATATATGTAATATGAATTGTAATGCATTCTGCTGTCATATATAACAAATTAGAGTAAAAAATTTTTTAAAAAAGAATAAAGCCTGAACAAATGAGCTCTTCTTCTTGGATACTGGTCTTTACAAATAGTATTTGACATGAAATATTATATTACATTAATGCTGTCCAAAGTATAAAAGTATAATCAGACTATAGAAAATATTATTATAACATACAAAGATGATAAATACAATGATTTAATTTAAAAAAACAAAAACAAAATCTGCTAATTCCCAGGAAAACATCTACTGTTGCCTTTAATCATTCATACTACACAAAAGCCGAACTTTTATTGCACTTCTATCAAGAAGAAAGAAGTTCAACAAGAATCATAATAGCTGCTTCCAGCTTCTAGCAAAAGATAAAGACCAAGGAATTCTAGGTTTTTGTAACAGGTTGCTTACTACTTTTATGGAGCAAGAATTTTCTTATACTGGGAATATGCTCTGAACACATGGTTTTGTTTCAATATTTAAGCACCTACTAAACTCATCTCCTACCAATGTATTTTAAAATATTAACACTTTATTTAATTTCAGCTTTTAAAAGCTCAAGTTCTATGACTAGCTAGCTGGTCAAAAAAGAATGAGATGGGGATTCGATAAGATGGCGGCGAGGGGAGTGCATTGCCCCCGTGTGCTGCTTCACTGTGTGGGAGTATGAGGAGTCAGGACGGCTAAAGGCTATCTTGGTAGGAATTTCCAGCAATAGTGGGGTGCTCCGGAACCTGGAGGAAGGATTTCCATCGCACGAGGATCGGCTACGGGGACTCAAACGCGAGAGGTTTGTCGCACGGAGGGTAACACTGCTTATTCAGCAAATCGCCCCGCGGCTAGAGTCTGCAGCGCGCGCTGGGAAACGAGGAGATAGTGACGCAGGGATACAGCGCTGCAGTTTCTGCCAGCCGTGCAAGCACCGTACTCAGGGCTGAATTCTGGGTTCGAGACGGGGGAAGGAAGCGGTCCATCTCGGTTCTCCACACCGGTCAGACCACAGAGGAGGCCAGCAGCCACCATGTTGGAAAGCTGACGTCACCATCCCTGTTTTCGACTGACCGCACCTCATTCAGCCATAGAACAGGGGAACGAAATGCTGCCATTCGCATAGGACACCAACATGGCAGAGATCTGATGTCGTCAGAAAGCGGCGGAGGAGAGAACTTCAGCAATACCAGCGGCGACAGAAACAGTTGGTCTCCTGGTAGGGGGGGTGAGGCACAGACACCCGAGTCTCTCTCGATCTGTCCTCGAGCCAGAGGGGAGGAGCCGGGCCACCGCCAGTGCCCGGAGCAGTCCCAGCGGCTCGCCGGCGTGGTGACCGCGTGACCCCAATTGGAGAGG